CCATCTGAGTTGTTAAATTGTGGCGGGCACTTTACATGGTTAGAAAACACGAATTTATTTACAGTTGGCTCGCAGGAAGGGCGATATTCAATAGCATCCGACTAGACTCTAGTACCTCGCAGCCTTGAGTATTATTAATTCTTCTTCTTTTTCTTCTTACCATGTTCGCTCTCGTCCTTCATAATTGTTGAACACTGAGGTTTCGCCCCACCAAATTATTTGCTAAATATTTTATAATAGAGCGCTGTGGTTTTTATCGACCTCGTACATATTTTTTACTTGGGGTCCAATGGACAGCTTGTTTTGGGTCAAACATAGGCATATTCTATGTTTTTTATTTGTTATACAAAACTACCGTTTACATTAATATTAATATTATCAGACGTCTCCCTAAATCACGCATTACAACTATTCTACTCATATTTAATAACTGTCTTAACATCCAAGTCCGATTCCTTCAAATTCCTTCTTCCCGTCGCTTTATAAATAAGTAAGTCATTTTGTATTTGGTCTCATTATTCCACGTCTTCGAACTACATAAAAATTTAGTGTTCATGTTCCAAACTGTACGCGAACGCTCTGTAACTTTAACTTGTGTTGGGCAAGGCCGTGGCCTAGGCAACACGGAGTTTTCCTCATTGGCATCCCAACAATTACTCCATTCACACACAGAAGAAGGCAATGGCAAATCACTTCTGGATCATCTGCCAAGAACGTATATGAACAGGTCCCAGTCCGAGAAAAGGATGGAAGGATCCTGTTCATATGGACCTGTCGTCAGACAGAACACTAAATAAATAAAAATAAATAATTTGTATGTGTCTTTCTGCGAGGGAATTTTGAGCTGCCATTATTTTCTTCGATATCCGACACTAAGATAAGATTATTACAACAAACGATGCGAACTATAATGCAGTTCAAAAGCGTTTGTCGCCCTGTCCTCTATCCAAACACATAGAAATCAAAATACTTACGACTAGAATGTTATGTTGTTTTGTATGGTTGTAAAAAATTGTTTGTCAAGTTATAGAAACAACACCGATTAAGGGTGTTTGAGAATACGGAGTGTTTTTTGAACTTAGAATGTATGAAGTGACGGGAGTCTGGATAAATATGTACAAATGAAAACTCCAGAATTTGTGACCTTAATCAAATATTATTAGTGTGATTAAATCGAGGCGGGGCATATAGAGTGATGTGTTGTTACATTCGTTTTGGCGCAGTATCGTAGATGAGAAATGCCAACAAAACTTCGTTTTGGAAATATAGTAACCACTCGGAAGACATAGAAGTGGATGGTAGTATAGCACTAAAATAGATCTTCGCTAAATACGGCTTGAGGGTTTGGAATGGATTCACATGACTCGGGATATGAATCGGTTACGGGCTGTTGTGAACTCGGTAATGAACATTCTGGTTTCTTACACGGCGAGGACAAGGACGTCGATTCGTAATGGACATCGGCCCACTGCCATCTCTTTACAAATTCTTCAGAACGAACTTTCTTCTCATTTCATCGTTTAATGTTTCAAATTTATCACATTCCAAGTCAATATCCGTCGGTTCAGGCGCCGGCTCGGTTTTCTGACGCTCTCTATACAATCTGCATCGTTCGGCATTAGTCAATTTCGGCTTTACTTATTTCTTTTGAATTTTTCTTTCCAATGATACACGTTTCTTATATTTCTGTTCATATTTCCTTCGCAATTTCTTCGACATTATGAAAATTTTCTTCAACTCAACACACTTATCGGCTTATAACTTCACAAATTTTATTTTATCGGTTATTACCGCTAAATAATCTTGTAGATCCTGTTCTTCTCTACAAATCGACACCAATTTCAACTTCCTATCTGTTCGCATTCCAAAGTTACACTGCCCAAACTCCGCGCGGCGTCGCCATTTTCAGTGTTCACGCGAATAATAATAACAATATTGGCTTAATAAATACTGTACGTGACTTATTACAACTTGTTAGAAATACTGTCTATTGTGTAGCACACTGTTGTTCCTAATATGATACACTTACGGGCACGTGCCTCTGTGTGTCTGCCAGAAAGACGACACAACTGCTCGAGGACTCGTGCATGCATCACAGGCGACCTCAAAGATGTGGAAAAGCACGCACTGTAGAGTGCGGTAGAAGCCTGCCACCCCATCGTCTAAATCGACAAAGACTGTGTGTTCCTTTGACGCTCAGGTGTGCGAGGATAGAATAACAGCCAAAGACAAAGTCAAAATTACAGCCACTGCAATGATATTCATGAGAATTCCAACAAAATACATTTGAATAATCAGCAAAACAACTGAGACATTTTAAACTGTACTAAAAACAAAACTTTTTCGGACAAAATTAAAATATCAAAGCAGTTGCATTAAGATTTCTGTCTTCTGGGTTGTTGCGCTGTGTAGTCTGGTCGATGTTAACCAACGTTTCAGAGGTCATACTGCCTCCGTCATCAG